CCTCTTATAAATAGCTTTTCCTCTCTCTTGTTTTATGTACAATGTGTATAGCAACAACAATAACAGTAAACAAAGACATGATTAACTAAGCGACTTGTCTGTGGACAAAGAAAGAAAAATGGTTAAGGGCTAAAATGTCTTTAAATAATTAATTATAAGAATCTTCAAATCTAGTATTCAGAGGGTAAAGCTCTCTACACCACAAATATATTAGATTGACTCACAGAGTGACTACCAAATATTCAGAAAGCAAATTACTTTTGACCAAAAAGTGTACATCAACAGCATGTCAGGAGTGTTTTCATACTGGAGGATAGAACATACAGAGCTAGTTCTCCACGGAGCCAAGCATGGTCTACTATGGAGCAGTCCACAAAGAGAAGACTAAATTCTGAATAAAATGGGTTCTAGTTAAGGTAAAAAGAAAAAGAAAGAGCTTTTTCTCAGCATTTTCAGGTGAAAGAATTGAACTGGCTACAGAATCATATCCCTGAACATCTGCCATGAGTGGGGTTGCATCTGTCTCTCACCACTCCTAGTGAAACAGAGTCACCAGAGTTTCCTCAGTCAGGAAAGGCCCTAATTGTTAACCTCATGGTAACTGTGCATGACCGCATGTTTCATGTCCAATAAAGTATCCAAAGGATATGATAGCTTTATGATCAGGCACTGAGTGATCTGAACAAGTATTTTTTCTGTTGTGACTCTCAACAAAGTTAGGTAGATGCTAAGGATGAAAATTCTGGCTTCATACCTACAAAGGATTCCCTGCCCCAAATAAGGAGCATCATTCAACTACAATTCTTAACTATGAGGGAGCAGGTGGAGAACATGGTGGACTCTTTACTACGATAAATGTTTTTTATAGCTTGGGAATGCATAAGGTTACAAATGTGACAACTGCATAAGCACTGGGACTCAAATAGGCGAAATATAAGGAAATGGGTACACACACACACACCAAGAAGGAAATACTATCATTAATAATTATTATTACTATTATAGATATTAAAATTATGAAGTCTGATGGCTCACTGGGGCATAATATACAATACAGGAGTTAGAAAGATTCATGGGTAAACCCAATTCCCCCCACCCCCCCCCCTTTTTTTTTGTACTGGGAATTGAATTCAGGACCTTGGGTTTGCTAGGCAGGTGCTTGTGCCACTGAGCAATATCCCCAGTCCCCAATACTTCCCTTTAAAAGGTAGTTTGTAGTCCAAATTTATAGGATATGAGGCACATAATACAATAACACACATAAGAAAATGATGCAGAAAGAGCAGAATAAGACATGCCTTTATTTTATCTGTTGTGTTTATAATATCAATCTTGAAATAATGATGAAAAGGACAGTTGCTTTTCAGTGTGAATATTTTGAGGTATGGGAAAATATCCTTGCCATTTTAAAATCGCATAATGGCTATTCCTACGCATTTTCTTTAGGAAATTCACCTGAATGCCAAGTCATTAGATGCATTCTGACCTTTGGCTGATATTTTAATGATGGTGATGCCAAGTCAGAGTAAAAGAGAGAAAGTAATGATCAAAAGACCAAGGGAAAAAATGAAAAAAAATATGAGTTTGTATGGTTTACACTCTCTGGTCCAGCAAATTTTACAGATGCTCTCTGTTTGACTGCTATAGTTTACTGCTTATGTTATTGCTTTCTTTTTTCCCATGTGTTTTTCTCTACTAGCTTTGGCTGAGAATATTTTCTATGTGTCCATACTGTAAACTATCATATTTTTCGAGAGATTTAGTGTGGTGGAGAAGCTCTTTTTTGCTTCCCCAAGGGTTAGACACATCAATATTCTAGCTACTCACTTTCGAGGCCAATGCAAACTGTGCTCCTAAGATTAAATAGACCAGAGTAACACATAAATTCAGTTTATACTGAGGAAGTATGTTACTTAGTTATTCACATCCTGAATTTCTGATGAGTGTAATACACCTGTTGGACAGCACATTGCTACTGAACAATCACTGACCTACAATTCAAAGACAGAACAAAACCCTAATATAGCTCCTCTGTAATATGCACAAAGCATTCATCATCTGCAGAGCTTTTTGTGTGAAGGGTCTGATCTAGCTAGGGAAGGATGGCTCATAAAGCGTTCTTTGAAACGCTCTTAGAACAATACATACAAGCACTGCTCTGCAACACACCAACTCCTTCCTCTCAAGCATAGTGTTTTCTTTTTTTTTTAAATATGACTCAAACTATCATTATATAATTAATTTCCCCTTCTATAAACTTCTTAAGAGTCCCATGTATCCACCATATCTTCCCATTTTGCCAATAAACCTTACAACTATAAAGTTTTGAATACAGTGTTGTTTGGCTTAACTAGGTTTGCTCTATTTATCTAGTAGGAGATGGCTGTAGCTGGCTGAGTTGTAAGTAGTCAGAGGACTACCTATACTTTTATTTTGCCTCAGATAAAGAGTTTTACCTAACACATGCATAAGTCCAATAATGAGTATAATTAATGCTGTATGGGTCTGATAATTTTCATACCGGATCCACACAAGTAAAAATATGCCCCTAAAAAGATTTCCCTAAGAAATATAATCAGGTTGGTGAAATGTGTCTCTAGTCAACCAAACTGCCCTTTAGCTTCCATATGTAACTCGGAATATTATGAAACACACCATAGAGATTTTATAAGCAATTGCTATATATTAGAAAATATGATGTCAAGATACTAAAGAAATATTGTTATATATGAAGATTAGATAATTTACTTGAATGCTTTTAGCATTAATATGTAAAAATCTTCTTGTGGGCCTGAACTATTAACGAATTAAAATGCTATACTGTTTGTGGTGTGTTTCAAAACAACAGGGCAGTACAGCAGGAAACTGATAGGCCAGGAATTAATTACTGGGCAAGCTAGATGGTGGATACTTTGCAGTTCATTATAGCGATCTGTCTACATTCATGTATTTGAAATTTTTCATAAAATAAATCTAAAGAGATATTGATTTGAATTTTAATTCATTTATTCATTATTTGATGGACTAATTCACTTACTGTTTATAGGTAAGGAATTGTCCAGATGTAAAATAAAAAGTAAATAATACTGATAATGCTCTTTTTGCACATTTAGGTTAAATGAGATATTCAGGAATAGTAATATTTATTTAAAAATCTCTAAATCATTAGATTAAATGCTGAAAGTAGGACACAAAATTATATAGAAAGTATGATTACAGCATATTTACAAATATATCCTCAGGAGAAATGAGAGTAAGAAAATATACCAATGGTTTTAATGATCGGATTTACATTAAGGAAATAATTCTTTTAATTTTTCCTTATTTCTATATATTTTCCAAATTATTTTTAATGAACATGTGTCATTTTAAAATTAAATAAATATTCCTTCATTAATGGAAAAGATATACTCTTCTTTACTGAGGAGCTTTGCATTTAGTAAAAGGAGAAACTGCAAACACATAGCATTTCCTTAATATTTTAAATCTTCATACCTGTAAGTGAAATACACCCAGAGGAAAAGAAATGTCAATACAGATTTTATCTGATCATAAAAACATAAAGAGCTTTCTGCATGTTGGATAGAAACAAGGGAGGCACCGGCTTCTCTGAAAGCCAACAAGAGTGTGAAATTCGGGCCCTTTTGTGATGAGATCACTTTGTGATGAATGCAAAGGGAGTGACAAATTAAAGTTACCAAAGAGCCTGTCCATGGAGCTCCTGAGGCTCACACTGCATTGAGTTTCTTCTCTGAACAACAGAACAAATAAAGCATAGGAATGGGGAGGAAGAGGGAGTTACGGTCCTAAAGTCTGTGGCCTTCAGCAGGGAGATGGGTATACTGAGAGAGAGATGGATGAGCAACAGAATTAGAAACAACACAGCAACAACTATGGATTATGTGAAATGGATATGGAAAGTCCTTGTTAGAATGCTATCTTTATTACCTTAAAAGATGATTTTCCAAATTTTATGCACATTCATATAAAGTGAAGTCAAGAGTGTAACTTTTAAAGGTTTGGCTGATGATGTTGTTTATGACTAAATAGGCCTGAAGTCCAGCAGAGCACAGTCAGATGCCAGGCAAGTTACCCTGTCTCTCCTCCTCCCCTTTGGTATAGTACTTGCCCCTGCATTTCAGTGCAGGCCAAGCCATATCAAACTCAGCTCTTGGGAGCTTTGTGTGACTCCATAATGATCTACCAAAACACCCTGAGTCTGACCTGTGCTGTCCTCCCAGCCACTGAAACATCATTGATTCTAGAAGACCATCCTTTTAGAAATTTTACAAATTTTCAATACAAGGCACAGAGATTAAAAACTTCAAATTTATGCTGACTTGCAACTCTGCTCTTGGTCCTCTTACTTAATTTTAAAAGGTCAGAATGGCCTTATTCATACTTCTGAAGGGCATTTTTCTGTTTGTGGCTATATGCAAGAGTAATCATATCTGCTTTTAAGATGAACCCAAATTAATCAAATGCATTTCAAATTTACAGAATATTATAGACTACAAATGGGTAGTTCAAAGTATCACCAAACGTGTTTGGAAAGTTTTGCGCGTGTTTGCTTAATGCCAAATATTCAATGTTCCACACAGAATATATCAGTGCTCTCCTTCATTTTAACCTTTTTTGCATTCCAGAGTTGCCTTTGGGGAAAAAAAAAATACCTGGAGAGACATCCAAACAGGTATCCCAGTACTTCCACCATTCTATGCAATGAAGTCACTTGAAAATGTTTGTCAATATTTATGACGGTGGGTCTTGGGATCATGTTTCTTATACGTCTACTGGTGGTTTTTCAAATGAACAACAAGATATGCAAGATCTCCCTTTTACCAACGTCAAAATACATTCTGCTCAAATTTAGTACTTGAGGTTGTAGACTCACCACAGCCCTTAGGCTTAATGTTTTTCTGAAGATAATAGAAATGTATTTGTCTCCTTTGCACCTCAATATTTTAGACTGTCATTTAGAGATAATGAAAGTTACTTACCAGCCAGCAGTGTGGTGAGGAATATCGAGTTAGTGATGGTGAAACATTCTGAAATAAAAGAATATTGTAAGTGCTAGGTATTTAATAGATATATGACAACCTGTATATATGTCATAAATATACGACAACCAGTCACAGAAAAAATATCCATTTGTTCCTGTGGGACACTGACTCAGTGATACTATATAGAAAGATCCTTATCTTTAAGGGTGAAAAGATAACCATCCACTGAAAAAGTGCCTTTTGTAGCTGCCTGCACGTTTGACTTGAGGGTCTTCAACCATTAGTTACGAACAACTTGCTGTCCATTTCCGTAATTCACTGTAACTTTTGTTGAGCAAGTTATGTTTTATGGTCAATTATCCATGGTCTGCTTAAAAAAATAAATCAAGCCATTGTAAATCATTAGGATTTGTAGCTCCATTTGAACTTTACTGTGCTTTTAATTAAACGTTTTGTAAATAAAAACAAACTGGTTTCTCCTTGTTTTGGTTTCTTTGTTACTTGCGTTCTGCACATAAATACTGTGGCAATGGTGGGAAAACAAGCTATGGGTTATTTTCCTCTGGTTTTCGGAGTTGTGAGTTGCTGGCCTTATCCTCCCTGAGTATAAATAAATATAGAATATTGTATGCCAAGTTTGGTAAGATAAATGCAAGGAATGAACTGAAACATTTTAAGACAAACATTTATGCTAAGTTACAGGACAACAAAACAAGTCCTAATTAACATTTTAGAAGTTTCTACAGTAGAGCAAGCAAGTCTCCAAATATTATATAATCAGCATTTTCACAACTACTTTCCTAATGAACAGCAACCTATTAATAATACAAGTGTTTGTTTCTTTTCAATGCTTTTAAAATTTAGAAGCCACAGGTAGTTTTCCCAGAGATCACCTCTGACACCTAATAATACCACCACAATGAAAGCTTTCAAAGTCTCCAGTCTTAATTTAAGCCAAAGGTGATTCAGAAAGATCAGGAATTTGTGTAGCTAAAAGTTATGTAAAAAAAACACTCCATATAAAATTTTTTTATAATTATCATCCTAGGACCTATAGAAATAAAATAAGTCTAAAAATAATTGGCCGAGGAATTAAGAAAAGTCAGGATTCAAAGGATCCTGGAGCAGAATACAAAAGGAGTGTTTTATGCGAGCCAGAACCTGAAGTACTACCACATTTAAATATGAAATTTAATGAGAATCACCAAGGTAGCTTGCCAAAAATTATGCTTTTTAAATGAGCCAGTAGTCTATGCAGCAATGATCACTGAAAAGGACCTCTAGAAAAGATGTAAAATTACTTTCTGAAATTTGATACTCTTATAAAGACAGAGATCGGATAATAAGGAATTTCTCATTAAATGGGATGATATACCTGCTGCTAGAATGTGAAGAGTTTTGTATCTAGTATGTTTTAGATATTAACTAACTTCTTACCTTACTTTACTTTTAAATATTACCTCACCTTTAGATATTAACTAGATATTAACTAACTTCTTACCTGCATAATGTCTCAGGGAACAGCCATAACAGGTCCCTCATCAGACCATGGAAATACAGACAATATTCATGAAGCTGCTACTAGAGGCCAGGTACAACCGAAGTGACTGCTTGAAAGTAAGACTGTTGTTCTAACACTGGACAATAGCTATCATTATTGCCAATAGCAACAAGAAGAGAAATGAGGTAGAATGATCAACATACAAAAAAATTGGAAAGTGGTTAAATCTCTGTAGCTTTTACATGTTCCTCAAATGAAAAGTTCAGGATTGCCAGCCCGTCCTAAATTTGGATCCTGCATTATAAAAGAAAAACTGTAAGTAGCCTATAAGGTCCCAGAATTGCAGTTGCAACCAAAAGTGAGGGTTGCATAAACTCGGCTGGCCCACAATGGACTTTCTGAAAAAAAGTCAGTTCTGCCCTGGCGTGTTTCAGAGAGCCAGAAACCCCACCAAGATGGACCTGCCGTGCACTCTGACACGGGCAGCAGGAAATCAAGTTCAGACTTCTTCCTCTACTTCCTTAATAACTAGGTATCTCTCTTTGCCAATCAAGAAAATGCTGGTCTTCCTCCTTGTTAGGATTCTAAGTTTCTTTTTTAAAAAATAAAATCCAGGCCATCTATTTGAATACCAGGGTACTTAGAATAACTTTCTGTACACAGAACCACACACATAAAATAAAGCTTTGGTTAAAAGGTAATTAATGATATAAAATTTACATTATAAAGAACACACTTTATATTTTACTGAAACAGAAAATATTTATGAAGCTGCTAGTGATTCTGTCTGAAAAGGTAAATTAGTGCTTGAGGTTCTTGCAACATTAGAAATGCCTACCCTACTGGCAATAAACAAGAAGAGAAACGCGATTCAGTTATTTAATAATCAGATAACAATACTCAAAACTGCATCTTGTAATCCAAAGTCAGCTTTACTACATGTAGAGGGACATTTAGAAAAATATATGTATGAACATGATTTTGTGGTTAAACACTAAAATATTCTCAATCTATTTTTATGTCATTATTTTTACACAAATTTTTGAGCTATAGTTTAAGTTTCTTAGGAAAAAAGATGAAAGCAAATATATTTATAAAACATTTTTGAGGTTTGAAGTGTATCATTAGGTTATTTATTTGAGCTCATTCTGTTTTTCTGATGTGGGAATTCACTGCTATGAACTTTCCTCTTAGGATTGTTTGCATTGGGTACTATGGTTTCCGGTATGTCATACTGCATTATCACTTCATTGTAGGAACTGTCTAATTTTTCATTTAATTTCATCTGTGATCCATTGATTTTTCAAAATAATATTGTTTGATTTCAATGTGCTTGCACAGTTTATGTGGTTTCTTTTGCTACTGATTTCTATTTTCATTGCACCATATGGTAATATGCATGGGATAATTTTGATTCTTTGACATTTCCTTAAGCATACTTTATGGGCAACTATGTGGCTGAGAAGAATGTGTATTCTATTGTTGTGTGGAACATTCTATAGCTATTAAGATCAACTTTGAACCTAACCACTCAATTTGATTTGGTTCATGACCAGTTCCACTTGTGACCAGAATTGTGGAAAAAATTAAGTTCATGAACCGAGGTACCACTGTATTAAGTCCATTTGTTTGAAGGCTTGGTTAAACTCTGATACTGCTTTGTTGACTGTTTTGTCTTGTTGATCTGTCCATTTGTGACTGGGATACTGAGGTCCATTACTACTGTGTTGGTATTCATCTGATTTTTTTCACATCCATTCGTGTTTTTGTATGAAGCTGGGTATGCTGATATTTAGTGCATATATGTTTGAAACTGTTAACTCTTTTTGTTGAATTTTTCCTTCACTATTATGTAGTAAACTTCTTTGTCTTTTCTGATCAGTCTGAGCTTGAAAGCCACTTTCTATGAGATCAGGATAGCAATTCCTGCTTTTTTCTGGGTTCTCATTGCCTGAAATATCATTTTCATTCTTTAATTTTTTAATCTATCTTTTTGAATTTAATGTGTTTTTTGTGTACTATATGTTGTTGAGGGTCTTAGTTACTTTTCTCTCATTGCTGAGACAAAATACCTGATGCCCAGAATTAAGGAAGGAAAGGTTTATTTTGCTCATGGTTTGTGGAGGTTTCAGTCCATACTCGGCTGGCTCCAAGGTAGAGTGGCATATGGCAGAGAGCAACAGTACATGGTGGCAGAAAACAGCAAAAGCAACAAGAGCAAATGTGGGGAGGAGCAAGAGAAAGAACAAGCCTCTTTTCCTCCCTTATACTGTATGCAGGCTATCCACCCTAGGGTGGGAGTAGCACTCACACCCATAATCCCAGTAATGGACTATAAATCAATTATAACCTCTAGTCTGCACTCATGACCGTATTAAGTTTTCGGGAGACATTGAGACGTAATTGTGATTCTTGATTCATTAATCTGTATATTTTGATTGAGGAATTGAGACCATACACACTGAGAGTTACTGAATTATTTTTGTTATTACATTGCTTTCCTGTTGCTGATTTCATCATTTTTCCCCCTTCTGCTTAGCTGCTTGTCCTGCCAGGTATATTCATTTCATTTCATTCATTCATTGCTTGCTTGCTTGCTTGCTTTTCTTTCTTTCTTTCTTTCTTTCTTTCTTGCTTTCTTGCTTTCTTGCTTTCTTGCTTTCTTTCCTTCTCTCTCTCTCTCCTTCCCTCCCTCCCTTTCTTTCTTGACCTTTTGATATTGTTGGCTTCTTTGTTTTTTTCTAGGATGCTTGAAAATTTTTTGTAATGCTGGTTTGGTGGTCATGAATTTCTTGACCTTATTTCTCCAACAACTGTAAAGGAAAATTTGCAGGATATATAAGTCAGAGTTAGAAGTTGTTATCTTTTAGGGCTTCGAACACTTCACTCCAAGTCCTCCTGGCCTTTAAGATCTGTGTAGCAAAGTCTGCTGTGATTCTAATGGGGTTACTGTTGTATGTGATTTGTTGCCTTTCTCAAAAGTTTTTAAGATTTCTTCTCAGTGATGGGCTTCTGAAATTTTTGTGGTATGGAGAGGTTCACTTTTGCTCATGACTATTTGCTGTGGTATATGCCTCACTTATCTACATGCTTATTTCTTTCCCTCTGGTAAGTTTTCTGTCATTATTTCTGTGTCTGCTTTTTATGCCATTTGTGCTGTCTTCTGCTGTTTCACATTTCAATTTTTCTTAGATTAGTCTTCTTTGCATCATCTAGCAGTTATTGGAGCAATTTTCCAATTTTTCTTGCTGCTTTAAAGGTGTAGAAAAACAAAAACAATCTAAATCCAAAGCTAATATGAAGAAGGAAATTATAAAGACATATATGAACTACAAAAGCTGAATCAAGAAGATATAAAAATCTTGAATAAGCCAGTATCAGTCAGAAATCGAATAAGGACTGAAAAATAAAAAATGAAAAAAAACCTACCAACTAAGAAAAGTTCAGATCCTGATGGATTCATTGCTAAATTCTACAAAAACTTTAGAGAAGATCTAACATCAGTACTCCTCATACTCTTCAATGGAATAAAAAGGAAAGAAGT